TACAACTACAACTACATGTACGTGATGGTTGGGAAGGACAACTTTTAGTAATGCTAAATACCAATGTGTTATCAGCTATAGTTTCAGGGGTACATGTATTTAATTAGCTATATCATAGCTTCAACTTGGACAGGAACTAATAGCCTGAGAGGGAGAAGTAGAAGAGTTATACATAATTTTTTCCCATTTCGATGTGATCTCATATTCCATGATATACTTTATTGCTACTACAGTCTACAGCATCTAAGAGTGATATTAAAGCTGGTATACTGGTAAATACTTTCAGAAGCACTACAGGGCAATACCCCTTCATAAGTTACAGAGAAGAGAAATGTTATAGAAACTGACCCGGTGAAATTTTGTAACTCAAATCGTCATTATGCCTTCAGGAAGAATGTGGTCTTTAATGTTACCTCTATGCAATCATGTTTTGCACCACACTACCAAGCCAATGAAGCACAATGTTTTGAAAACTCTCAGAATCACAAAATCCCAGGGCGTCATTAGGGCTCACTATAGTTTACTTTGTCCTCTTTCAATAATAGAATTTTTTGATGAAGTGCCAAGGTATGGGTCTGTACCAGATATTCCTTCACAGATACAGAAGTGTGGAATGTGTTCTGTGACAAATATACCCTGGCAAGGTTATATAAACAGACAAGCTGTGTAGATGTTGTATCTTTAGCGAGTACAAGTATGAATAGATTGTTGCATCTATTGAAACCAGGGTTGGGGTCAAAAGTCATGTATACACAATGTACATTCTTTAAGTTTTACTTAATACTGAGGTAGTAATGTGTTTGTCATTTCAATAGAATATTCGAAATTTTCAGAATCTATCTTAACAATAACCCTTACTGAACCACTTGTCAACGTGTACTATGTAAAGGACAATGCATTTCTTTTTTGGTCTTTGATTAGGTCGATTACCACAAGTGTTAAGATGCTTGTTGATTTAAGGACACTTCTGAAGAAATAACCACCTGTTGGAAAACTCATACCTGAGCAGGAGAGTTCTGCAGCTTGCACAAGAATTGCCTATGTAATCGGTTCAAGGTGTTAGGACAGAAGTAAATTTAAGATCCAAATTCAAAACTTTAAACTGATTGCAGTTGTAGACACAAAAATTCTGTTTCAGGAATAAAGATTTTGTATTATAAATGCCATCATGAACTTTAATTCCTTTGATATCACATGTACTATTTACATTACCCCCTCCACAGTGATATCCATCCTGCAGGATTCCCCAGCCCACCCTCTCATTACAGCGGAACACCCGTCAGGACATGGTTGAAAGTCAGTAGCTGAAGACAGCAGCCATGGTTCATCAGCAGACTGCCACCCCACAGGGCAGCCACACAATCCACATCATGCCATGCTCAACTGCCCAGGAGGAGATGCTTGTGGAAAACTGCCCAAGCGTATGGCGATGCGTCCTTGGAGATTTCCAACTGGAGCCTTATGTTACATTGATAGCCCCAGGATCTTTGGGAGGAGACCTCTTCAAGTGTCATAACAACTATGAATAAACTTTGGAGAAGTGTGGCCATTATCAATCACAACTGGAGGGAGGGGTTCCCACTTAACATGCCTGGGTGTTGTGTAGCAGAAACAATGTTTGCATGAACGTAATCAAATTCTGGAGCAACTTCCCTCATACCTCAGGAATTGTTTCTTTTTGCCTGAATTGCTATTAATGTTTCTTTTCTATCTGGCTCCTTCCTCTCCCCTACCACAAACTTCATCCTGTGGATCCAGTTTTATGTCAAACCTCTTGATAAGTTCCATTTTGGTAGACAAGGTCAAATATATTGCAGTCAGAATGTCAGAATCCATTGTATAGATGTTGAATTGAATTACAATGTACATACAATGCCATGTATTCCGGTGGGCCAGTAGTAAACTGCAGGTGTGACACTGCCAGTAGAATGCCGAAGTATTAAAACCCAGGTTTCCTTCATTGAAATTTTCTTGCAAGTTGATAAAAAGGTTGGCCATAAATAAAATGCACGATGCAACTTGGGCCAACTTTTATTAGAGTTTTGTATGAGACAAGGAAGGATGTTGGATTGACAAGGAAGATTTGTGAGAAATGCAAGTGCAATGTTACTGCTGTCAAGATGACTGGTTTCAATATACTGGTCTGTCTGGAATGTAAAAACAATTTGCAATATCTAGAGTAACATTATTATTACTGAAGAATGAAAAGTTGCTGATGCTGGTTACTTGGTATGTTCTTTCCGGCAGTGAGGTAATGGTTTACTCGCATACCGCACAAGATGTCTGGAAGATTTCCTCTTCTCCTGTCCACCTGTGATGACCATCACCTGCCTAGGTCATGATTACACCTGACAGGTGGCACAACATACAGGTGAACCCCAGGTGTGATCAAACAGGTCTAATCAAGTTCAGTCTGGAGGTGGACACCAGCCACGTGCACAGTGTAAGCATTCTGTGGGGGAGGGGCAACTTCAAAGCTTCTTATTACACTGAGTCATATCCAGAACAGGGACCATGTCAAAAGTTTGGTAAGTACAAAAGTGAAGCTGTCGTCCCTTTACTCAGCACAACAAAACTCTGACAATAAAACAATTTTATTCTTCCTAATGTGCTGGGATCTATTCCAAATCATACATATTATTAAACAGCAACATTCCTTTAACTACATGCTGTGAATAAAGGATGGTTGGCACATAGTTAAGTGAAAGATACAGCCCAATGACCTTGGCATGACAAGGAAAATTACGAGGAACTCCCTAGAAAGTGTTCTCATTATATTCCCCTCTGCGGGATGCTATCTTCTAAAGCTCTCCACTCCATAGAGTCGGTCCAGATACCTTGATTTCTCCATGACCTCTCTGCTGACAAGTACTCTATCTTCATAAATGGTTGATTACTGTTGTACAAACTTTCCATAGGTCCTGACTTCTGACTTAGAAATACTGTTACAAGCTGGTGATATTTAGGCAATGATTTTTTTTTCAGTGTAGAACTTCTGAACAGTTTAACAGACTACAGACCAAAATACAATGTATGTTTACGTTGTTGGATTCAGAGAAGATACCAGGTAGTATCAATAGTTTGTATCATGTATCCACATGTAGTATCATTCCTGTCTGGAAAATGTCATAGAGGGACACTTTTATAGTGCGAATTCTATATTGTCAAAGATCCTTCTACAGTGCAGGTAGACTACTTTTTCTTCCCATGGGACAGAAAAACTGCAAGGTAGTGGTTTTACCAGTGGCTACCTTTTTTTCTGTTGTGAGGTTGTTATATCTTTTTATCAGGATATTTTCCCCATACAATGTCCTTGGTGTTACAGATCACTGGCAAATCTTCTGATGGCCACAGGCCACCTAGTGAGTATGAGAAGAACTGCAGAATTGACATCCAACAGCACATGGATCAAGAGTGCCCCCTTTTGGATAACATAATATCTACAGCTTTCATACCCTCCAATATTATCAGAATGTAGCCAAATTTGGCTAGTAGCAGTAACAGTTTCCAATTTTCTGTTGAATTCCTCAGTGTCTAGTTACTAGTTGGTATAGAAAGCAATAATGAGCATATTGGTTTGAAACATTGGCATAAATTATGCCATAATAGCCTGTGGTTGCCATCCGTTTTGTAATACGGTTCCTTGTACTTGTTAACCGAGGTACAAAACAGATGGTTCCAAGGATAGCACAAATGGCTGTACCCTTACTTTTTAGAACTTATGCAAACTGATACTCCACAATGTACAAAAGTAACCATTTCTGGTTAGCCAATCATCGTTATGTACAGTACAGTAATAATGTGCCCTCACCTGCTGACCCCCCTGCCATGAACTGTTGTACAGGCTGCTTCCATGCTGGCTGTGGTTTGGACATCATGTCTGGAACAGCTACAGGGAAACCTCACATAGGTTAACTTCATAGAAAACAGCAGAGAGACTTTGTTAAGGGAGTTTATCTTTATATGGATGGCAGTGACAAATATTTGGAAAATACTGATTATGATGGTGAGGATGTTACATGTATAGTTAAATACATGTACAATCATTACACCACCAAGAAGCAACATCAATTCATGTATTAAACAAAAGGGGAAAATAATCCTTATACAGCTGTATACAGGATTCAATATCTCCAACATACATAACCTAGTTCAACTGATTAAAACTTCTAGAACAAATTAGCTGAAGAAAAATTCTTGCATACACCATACAGTGCAATGAACATCCTGTCAATAGTGCAAGAAAAAGCCTTATACACACGTATTATAATAACTGAAGGACACATCCTGTCAATTAACCTCAGTCGTATCATAATTACGCTGAACAACCTGTGTGGCCGGTTGGTAGCTCGTAGGTTGTCGACTTCTTGGAAAGGGAAGTTCAGCAGCTAGACCGGGCAATGGGACTGTTTACCGTCCTAATCGACATGGTGGGTGCCACCGTGGTCTAAAAGTTCAGAGCGGCAAAGGTCCCGCAAAGTTGAACCTTGATTTCTGGGCCTGGCGTCTCGCTGTGAATCTTGGGCCAAGACTTGGACAAAACCCAGCATGGCCGGACTATAACACGCCAGCAAATGCGTATTAGCTTTGAAATGATAGGCGTTATACTACTAAAACTGACAACACCAGGGAGCCAACCACCGAGCTATATATGAAGCGAGTAAACACACCAAATTTTGAGAGAATTTTGTGGAGACAACTCACTTCCTACTTGGTCCGATCCCGCCGGTATGACGTAGTCTGACGTGTTACCAATTAGGCGATGCCATAGGCTTCTGGGGGGACATATTCTGGTAATTTGTATCGAGATAACGATTAAATATCACTAAAATTGGAAATAAAAATAAGATATTTACCTATAAACATAAATTTAGTTATGATATTTACCCATTTTACACAGTATTTTTTATTCCTTCGAATAAATGGAATTTAATCATGGAATTTTACCCGCTAAATAAATGGTTTCGTTTATGTCAAAGGTTAATCTTCAAAGTCCGAAAATGGCGGCCTCTAACCCGGAAGTGACAGATGTCTGTGCGGTTTGTGGCGCCAAATCCAATTTGAAGCGCTGTTCAAGATGCCAGGGTGTTTGGTACTGCAGCAGAGAGCATCAGAGTCAACACTGGAAACAGCACAAGAAAATCTGCCGTGCGAAAAGCGCTGCACAGTCCGTCCAGTCTGATACACAGTCCGCGGCAGGGAAAGGTCATGTACGTCAAAGTGCGGTGGATCTCCTTGAATGGATCTCTCCTTGGTGGATCTCTCGTTGTCCTCCGGCAGCCGTGTTCGCCTTATGTTGCGGCGGCCGTCCGGCAGCTTGCCCGGCTTTACTACCGCCCGGCAGCGCTTGTAAGCCGGGCTATACTCACGCCAAAGCCGCTCCGCGTTTTCCAGTACGGAAGGAACGTTCAGTTCTCGGTTTCCAGAACTGATTCAGAGTTTTCCAGTTCTGAAGTCGCCTCAGATCTGGACGCCCAGTTCTGACAGAACTTCCGAACTGGAAGTTCAGTTCGGAAGGCACCTTCAGTACTGAACACCGAGTACTGAGGGAGGAACCCGTTACTTAGGTACTTTTGCGACTAAGGACTTGGACGATGTGGCCCGGCACTCCGTGGGACGACTCCGACAGGACGGGTTCTGTGTTCTGGACGGTCTCCTTGACGACGATCAGATAGACCGTATCCTGGAGGACGTCCGGCGTGTGGACGGGTCCGGCGGGATGAAGGCAGGCGAGCTGGCGGGGGGCAGGACGAGCGGGGATGACCGGGAGAAGAGGACCAAGTCCGCCGTGAGGGGAGACAGGATCATCTGGCTACAGGGGACTGAACCGGACTATCCAAACATCGGCACGCTCATCAACTTCATCGATACTCTTGTCGGGAAATTCAACCGCTACTTAGAGGGAGAAACGGTCATCAAAGGAAGGACTAAGGTGCAGCTCGACTTGCCCTTTCTTAAAATGTCAACTTATGATGTTGTTTTACATTTTAAATTTAATGAATTTGTCGTACATCTTAGCTAGGTTTTAAAGCTTTGTCGACAATTTTATACAAATCCAACCGTAACTTACGAAGAACCACAACTTTGTATTCCATGAACAAAATGCAAAAACCTCATAGTTATATGTCATCATTTGGTTTAGATGATTTTTTTTTAGTTGAGACTGTTACCAGGTACTAGAATTAAACTGCTTTGTTGTCGATGGTGTGGGTTTCCTTGCAAATTAAATGAATCCTGGCGTTTACAAAAGTTTGGTCATACCAGGCGCAGGTAGCCTGTTACCCTGGCAACGGAGCGGGGTACATCAGACACGTGGACAACCCGTGCCAGGACGGGCGGAGAATCACGGCTCTGTTCTACCTCAACAGGCGGTGGGACGTTCAGGTGAGTTGTCATGTACTGTAGCCGAGAAAAGTGATAGATGTAGTATGCGTTGCCAACTAATTACCACCAAGGCATTTATTAATTATACCGTTCATCAAGTACTGCGTGACCGGGAAGTTGGTACAGCGGTGTGTCCCGGCTCTCTACTGATTTATTTCTTCAACACTTCCCGACCGACAATAAAGACAAATGTTTCCCTCTGCTGAAAATTCTCTAGACGCAAGGCGGCAACCTGCGCCTGTTTCCCGGGGATAAGGACCAGTATTTAGACATCGCTCCTCTCGCAAACAGGCTTCTGCTCTTCTGGTCCGACAGGCGGAACCCGCACGAAGTGCAGCCGGCAAACGACATGAGGTCGGTAAAACTCCGGACGGATGTGAAATAACGAGCGCCATGGATATTGTTTAAAAAAATAGCACCAGTAACTTTTATTTAATTTATTTTACTTTTTAGCATTGAATACCAGAAAGACGGGGTTATGTCACATGTATGATTGTACTATTTTTC